GCAAATCTGCCTAATAACCACTATTCTACAAAGACAGTGAAGACAGTATGAAACTGCACTGACACAGCAATCTCAAATTAGTAAGACCTGATGTTGTGATTCACATCACTAAGAGAGAAGAGGAGGCTGTCAACCCACACTGACACGAAATCACATACTGCTTGGGGTTTCTACTTTTTTTCTTATTAGAAGGATCCTGATATGTGTACATATACACTCCTATTTACAGTCGACTCAACAATTTATCCTGACTTCAGAATTAAGGCATTTTAATATATACCACATTTTGTGAATGAGTCTCATATATAATGACCTAGCTTCTATGACTTGTGGTTATCTTGATTTCTGAGGTACTATTGCTTTGTATTAAATGAATAAAAAGTAAGTATATAAAATGATGCTATTTCTCTAATAAAATCCCTTCAAATTGGTTGTATATTCATGAGTATTGGTGCTTGTCTGGCATGGGAAGTTACTACATCCATTCCTAGTAGTACAAAACAACATTTCCTTAACGATGTTTCAGTATGCTCTTGGTTCTTTTCTCCATATGCTAATTCATATGTGTTGTATGTAACAAATTATAGTTGCTTTCATATTATAGTTTTAATTGATCTTACAAATGTAACAATAAATACATTTTTCATGGATATATATGAATCTTTAATTACCCCAAGTTAACACCAACTCTGTATTAACACAAATTCTCCCCCAACTCAACTGCAGTGACAGTGATATCGATATCTATCATCAGGTCGTTACCCTGTTACTAGCAATGGCAGCTGTGTTGGAACTGCCAGCAGAGCACCATCAATGCTCAGAACTTGTTAGGCCAAAAGGAGTGGCACATGCCTGTTATCTCAGTCCTCAAGAAACAAAGACAAGAGGATGATAAATTCAAGACTATACTGAGATGCACCACACAATCCTGTCTCAAGGCAAAAGAACAAAAATAAGCAGTGAGAAGCTATTGAGGATCAGGTACATACTTACTTCAAAGACGTTAAGTGGAAAAAAATACATGTTTATGTTTCTGGAATATGGTATTTAAAATAAAGTATTATCCGCCGGGCGGTGGTGGCGCACGCCTTTAATCCCAGCACTCGGGAGGCAGAGCCAGGCGGATCTCTGTGAGTTCGAGGCCAGCCTGGTCTACAGAGCGAGATCCCGGAAAGGCACAAAGCTACACAGAGAAACCCTGTCTCGAAAAACCAAAAAAAAAAAATAAAAAAATAAAAAATAAAGTATTACAATATTTTTAAATGAATATCATTATTTGTCATTTATTTTGTGTGTAACTTCCACAGAAGTTTTAATATTAGATGTGCAGAATCAAAGACATAGAAGACTGAGACTCAATTCATGCAGAATTCAGACTGAAAATCGAGTCATTTCTGTTGGTCCTTGCATTGACACAGCTAACTAAACTCATCCAGACACAGTATCGAGGGGCTCCCAACTAACTCTTGCTACTCTTTCAGCTGACATCTAGCAACCTTGACTTATTTTCCAGGTGTATACAATTAGCAAAGGATCATCACCCCTCATGCAGAGCATGCAAATTTTTATTGTTTAAATTTATTCTTTCATGAATTTCAGAACCAATTTTTCCTCAACATACATTAGTTATAGATGAACATTGACCATGCTTCAGAATAGAGAAGAAGGAAGAAAAAGCTGTCAGATGTTGGATTGATATCACTTGGACTTTTATTGTGCTCATATACATCCATTCTTTTCCCTTGCAAATCCCCAATTCAACCTCATGTTAATTATTCCTCACACTTTTATACACATTCTTCTGCTTGGCCTTCTGCCATAGCATTCATTTGCTTCCCAAAACCATTCCTCCTCATCATCAAGGTACTTGCTGCCTCTAAAACTCTGCTTAGGTCCTCCCTTTCCTTAGCTGTTCTGTGAGCAACTATCCCTACAGTCAAGTCACCTGCCACCTCCTCTAAAGAGTTCTGTGAGAAGCCCACTAAAGATATTAGACAGTTATTCTCAGAAAATTACATTCTTCCAATACTTTGTGTATTATTTTTCCATTATATATTCACAAATACAAAATTTAATTTTATCATCACCTTACTAGTCTGTAGCCTTCTGAGATCATACTCATCTTCAGCATTCTTCAGTGCTGCATTTGTAATGTTTGACAAAATCCTAGATATCTTGATGTCTAAAATTGCATAGATACTCAGTTTATATTTACTCTTCAATAAAATTAACCACTGTATATTATGAAAGTAAAATTATTAAAGGGAAAGAAATGACTACTAATAAATTAAGATTATATAATTTATTTGAGGACAAGATAAAATTCCTTTAGCAATGAGAAGTAAAATGGCTTAGTCAAATCCTTCCCAAAGAAGACATAGCATGTCTTTATATGGACATTCTTGCCCTCAAGTCCATTGATCCTAAATGACCACAATTGTTTCACTTTTAGTCTGCAAGCACTGGAATCAAAATAGACTCATCAACTCCTCCTTACCAAAGAAGCTAAAGAGAAAAGACAAGAGTGAAAAAGGCTCTTCCCATCCATATTTGAACCTTTGGAGATAAAAAAGAACCATCCAAAAAGAAATCTACAAATATCCCCAGAGGGTTATTAACTGAAGGAATGAGACAGTGTCTCTAAGACTACTGAAATCAGTATGTCAGTAGTACAGTGACATACCCTAGTCAAAGATCTCACAGTTGTACTTAAGGTGGATAAATGGAAGAACATTAACCTAGCATGCAAGAGAGCATGAATATGATACTCCAAACACACGACCTGCAAAAACATAAACAATGTACATTTAAAAGATCTCATGATCTTATGATTTCTGAGTATAATATCATTCAGTGCCTTGTATATTTAATTCCTGGTGATTTCTAAGGCTGGAGTATATCATACCGGTAGATTGCTGCACAAATATGTTGTTCAGTTTTCAAAACTGAAAAAAGATACATATGATTTTGGAAAATTATGGAATAAACTATGCTCCCTACCCTTCACTGTCTTTAGTTTTGAATTTTCTTTGATAATTAAATTAATTTTGCAAATGTTAAGTAGTTTTAATTCCACACTATCCTCACCACTGGTTTTTGTTTTTCTATTTTTTGTTATGTTTTATTTTTAGGATTTTGATGTTATTTTAGTTGTTACTGTCTTTCAGGTTTTTGAAGACAGTGGGTCAAATCCAGGACCTCACACATATAAACAAATGCTCTACAAATTAGCAACTCCTCCAGTCCTATGCTTCACATGTCCTAAGATTTACTTACAGAACAAATACAGATTCTACTTAGATAAATATCCTTTTCTTCAAAGTTTTTCTCAGTGCAATGTGAACATCCTTATTCCTTAAACTGTAGATGAGAGGATTCAGCATTGAGCCCATAATGGTATAAAAAATGGTAGCTACTTTATCATCATCCACAGATGAACTAGTAGGCTTAAGATACATGAACGATGAGGCTCCAAAGAAAAGAGAAACAGCTATTACATGGGAGCCACAGGTATTGAAGGCTTTTGACCTACCCTCTGCAGAATGGATGCCAAGGATGTTGAAGAGTATCAAGGTGTAAGAAATAAATATAGTCAGGGTGGGCACTATTACATTGATACTAACAACAATGAAAACCACCAGCTCATTGGTGGCAGTATTTGTACAAGAGAGCTTCCGGAGAGGAACTATGTCACACACATAGTGATTGATGATGTTGCCATCACAGAAGGTCAGACTTAGTATGCTACCAGTATGGGCCATGGCTCCTGCAAACCCCATCACATACACACCCACAAGCATCAAATGGCAGGTCTGATGGGACATGGTCACCTGGTAAAGCAGGGGCTTACAGATAGCAGCATATCTGTCATAGGCCATGGCTGTCAAAATGTAGCATTCATCAATAACGAAGAAGCAGAAGAAAAAGAGTTGTGACATGCACTCAGCATGAGAGATGATGTTCTGCTTCATAAAACTCACCAGGATTTGGGGGTTTATGACAGAGGAGCAGCAGGAATCAATGAAGGCAAGGTTGAAGAGAAAATAGTACATGGGAGTGTGCAGGTGAGGGTTCAAAACAATCAGAACCATCAAGCCCAGGTTCCCCACCATGGAGACCACATAGATTCCCAAAAAGAGGAAGAAGAGAGGCAGCTCGAGCACTGGCTGCTGTGTCAAGCCCAGGAGGATGAACTCCTTCACGGAAGAGCCATTTTCTGAGGCCATTCTTCTCTAGGTCATATCTGTGAGAACAGTAAAAATCATAACATTAAAATAAAATCCCTGCCCTACCCCAACTACCCCATTAAAATTGGACTAAGAACAAAATTGAATAATAAAGTCATGTTCACACTTCTCTGTGATTTTGTTTTCTACATTTTATGGAAGTTCATGTACAGAAATAAACAAATGAAAGGCCATTTCCTTAGGAATAATATTCAGGGAACCAGTGACCATTTTTGGTTCTGCAACATCTCTGTTCTTCTGCTATCATGAAAACCACATCCCACTTAACGTTCAATGATAATCTCAAAAAGGAAGACACAAGGCACATCAAAAACTCAACATGGTTTAGAGAAAGAAAAACAAGCATGCATCCTGTTCAATACTTACCCTTGTGCATGAGGAACTCCTAAGTGACCTCACAGACACTTTTCTACTCTCACAGATGAGCATGTGACCCAGTAAAGGTTCATAGCCCCAAATATATATTCTTTTCTGTTGTTACTACATGTGCCTTTCCAGTGATGAGGGAAATTAATTTTGGACCACAAAGTCAGAGCCATCATTTCGGGAGATTAAGAAAAGCCATGATTGTAGATCATTATTTCCAATGGTGACTTTTCCAAGGTTGTTCTCTCTTCAGGAGGTTGTTAAATAGCATCCACTGATGTCTAAAGAGCCAACTGATTAAGACTCAAGAGGGTTTTATGAGACTATAATCTTAGGAACCTCATTAAAAATTGAATAGTTTGTTTCCCAGGTATTTTCCCCAAGAGATCATGCTTTATTGCCATTGTACTTAGGGACTAGTTCAATAGTAATGACATTGGCTCATTGGAGGTATTTAATTTTGTTTTTTATTTATTATTTGGAAATTTCATCCATATATATAATATGTTTTCATCAAATTTACTCCTGAATCCTTCTTTTGAAATTCCTCCCCCAACATCCTACCACTATACTCACAAAACTTGATCTTTTTTTTCCCTTACTTTTTTAAACTTACTGAGTTCAGTCAGCAGTGTCATTATGTATATAAATGTAGGGATATCTATATGAGTATAAGTAACCTCTCTGGGGCCACATACTTAAAACTGACTATATTTCTCCCAGTAGCCACCCAGTTGACTATAGTTGAGGTGGAACTTCATGATCCTATCCCCCCTCAATGTCTGTATTTTGTCATATTTGATTTTACACAGGTCTTATGCATACTGTTGCAGCCACTGTGAGTTTATTTGAGCAGGGAACATACTGAGTCTTGAAAACATTGCTTCAGTGAAGTTATCTATCACCTCTGGGCTTTACAATCTTCCCACCCCTAATTCACTTATGACCACTTAGGCTTGGGAGAAGGGGTATGATGTGGAGGTCCCATTTAGGATTCAGCACTCCCAGACTCTTATTCTCTGCCTATTTCCAAGTTATGAATGTCTGTGTTAATCACTATCTATTGCTGAAAGAAGTATTTCTGATGAAGGTGGAGATGCACTAATCTATGGGTACATATATAATAGAAATTTATTAGAAGTCAGTTTAATTCTATATCCAAATAGAAAAACAGCACTTCCCTAGAACCTATAACCTATCTAGTCTCTGGTAGTTTGCCCCATGAATTACACTAGGAATGAGTTCTGTCTGTGGGGCAAGTCTAAAATCCAAAAAAAAAAAAAAAAACCTCAACGTTTTCTCCCACAAGACTTGTACCAATTGTGGGGGCATTTACCCACCAACCCCACAGTTCCCCAGAGTTCTCTTGAGTGTGAGCAGCAAGAAATATTAGATAGGATTTATATTGCAGAGATAAACAGATAGAAAATAAAGGATAGCCTCAAGAGGGCCTGGGACCTATTCCAATGGGCCCTGTCTCCGCCCCAGGGTATTTATAGAGATGCCAAGGGGTGGAGCAAAAGACCTCCCCCCCCAGCACAGGCAAGTGCAGACCATTTCAGACACCTGCACTCAGGCCCATGGCCCTAATCATCCTCTATGCGGACCTGCTGGGTAAAGCCACGAAGAACCAGAAAACAGGCTCCCACAGGTCTCCCTTTCTAAATATATAAAAAATAACTCATTAATAGCTTGGAGCAATCTCCATAGCTGTTATACCTCCCAGTATGGGAGTAGAGGATGATAAAGATGGCATTTCTTTTTTGAATTAGGTCCAAGGTGACTACAGCAGTCTTAGTTGCCTCAAGCCCTTTCTAAAACAAAAACTTAATGCAATCGCAAATTTAAAGAATCCCTTAACTTCATCATTACCACTAACAGGTTAACATAAATATTGCTGTACATAGTCACAATTCTCCCAATCTTACAACTCAAAGCAAACTCTTAACAGAACCATTTGAATTAACATATATGGTGCTATATATAGTTAACAATTTTCTCAGTCTTACAACTTTAACTCTTAATAGAATCATTTGAATTTTCTTGCTAACAGAACATAGGAAAAACTTCTGATGTATTCACATCAAACTTAAATATTTCCTTAACTTCACAAAACAAGGGTGCATTAATATCAGGTTAAACATAATTTCTGCAAACATACATTCAACCTTAATTCACTCATAACTCCTCCTTTTCTTTATAATTTTTTAAAACAATCTCCAACCTAGTTAGAGGAATGTCAGGGACAAGGACAGAATCTCTAAGGACAGGCAACTAGAACATCTTACAGTCAGGTTGCCTAGCAACAGGACATTGAGGCAGAGCCCTTGACCCTTTCACCCTGTAAACATCCTATACAAACATCCTGATAGCTTGCCCCACCTTATGCAGATGACAGCTTCTTGCTCCCCCCACCCTGCAGGCACTATATAAACCCTCTTGGAGAAAAATAAAGTTGCACCTTGATCAGAATCTAGACTTAGTGTATTTCCTTGTATCTCCTGTCTCTATCATTCCGTCCCTAGGGTGGTTGAGAACCCGTTGAAGCCCTGCAGGCGGGGCAGAGGAACCCAAACTTACACAATTCCTATAAGCCCATATTGAAATGCAGTATTCTCAATCTAACCATTAACACTTTGAAAACTTTTAGCAAAACATCCAAAAGCAGTTTCTTAATAAAACTCTTTACACTTTAAAAGTAGTCTTAGTCTACCCCATTTGCATTTCTTACTAACATGACATTAATCCACACAAACAATTTTTTAAATTAAATAAACTAAGGAATATTAACTCTTCCTTTTCTTTATAATTTTTTAAGCAAAATCTCAAGCATAGTTAGAAAACCCAAACTTTTCTGTTTAAACAGTTCCATTTGTAACACAAAACCAGTTCCATAAGTAATTCCATTTTTACATAAACAGTTCCACAAAACAATTGCATTTTTTAACACAGAACAATTCATGAATAACCAGCATATATGCATACACAAAACTGCATCTTGAATCAAGGTAGAAACAATAAATTTCTTCATTTAAACAGTTCCATTTTTAACACAAATAATTCCAGAAAACAGTTCCCAGGTCATTACTATAAGTAAACTCAAAATTGTCCCATTGCAATGAAATCTATTGTTCATTTCATTAAGTCCCAAAATTCAAATGATAAATTCTGGTACTAGCTTTCCAAATATGAAGAAATCCATAACAAAAGTCTTTTTGTAGTTTTATCTCATTATTTTAAGTTCAAAAAGTTCAAAAAAAGTAAATTCTGGTATCAGGCTTTCACTTCCAAATATGAAGAAACGTTTTACAACCAAAACTTTTTGCAGTTAACAATTTTAGTTCAAACAAGCGTCTCTGCAACTTTTGTTCTCATGGACAGAGACCTTTCTAGGTACAGTAGTATTCTATTTCCCTTTTCAGGTCTTGGACTGTTTCCTTCATTTGTTTCATTGCTTTTTCTTGATTTTCTTTCAGTACCTTATTGTTTTCTTCCAGGACTTTACTGTTTTCTTCTAATTTGTCTGCCCTTTCCTCTAGTTGTTTACAGCGTTCATCCCATTTTTTTGTCTTTTCCTCTACATAAGCCTCTACCTTCTTCATGATGTCATTCATAAGGCTGTTTTCTTCCAATTTTTGATGTTCAGGTCTAGATGTTGGAGGAGGGCTAGGTTCTGGTGATGCTGTATTGCTCTTCATTTTGTTGTATGTATTTCTGCCTTGACGTCTGCCCATCTCCTTGTGGTTCGTTCTTGGTCTTATCAGCACACTTGGTTCAGACAGAGCTGACAGATTCAGGAAGCCTCTCTCTCTTGTCCAGATGGGAGCTCTCTTGTCCAAATGGGAACTCCGGGGCAGGATGGGAGCTCTTGTCCAGAAGGGAAGTCCGGGGCAGGATAGGCACTCTTATCCAGAAGGGAAGTCCGGGGCAGGATGGGAGTTCTTGTCTCTCTCTCTCTCTGGTCTCTCTCTGTCCAGAAGGGAAGTCCCCGGGGCAGAATGGGAGCTGGGGGGCCGGCCTCTAAGTCTCAGGAAGAGGCTTGGGGCTCCGGCGGATGGGTGTGGGGGCAGGGCGTGGAGACTGCAGGGTCTGCAGAGGGTCTCGGAGAAAGGGGGTCCTTCCCGGTGGGGCTAGAAGGGAACCTGCCCGGTGGCTAGAACCTGGGGGCAAGTTGGGCAGGTCTTCCCTGGAGTGGCTGGTGCCCAGGGATGGGGTCTGGGCTGAGGCAGGGCACTCACCTCTGTCCAGGAGGGAAGTCCGGGGCAGGATGGGAGCTGGGGGCCGGCCTCTAAGTCTCAGGAAGAGGCTTGGGTCTCGGGCGGATGGGCGTGGGGGCAGGGCGTGGAGATTGCAGGGTCTGCAGGGGGTCTCGGAGAAAGGGGGTCCTTCCCGGCGGGGCTAGAAGGGAACCTGCCCGGTGGCCAGAACCCGGGGGCAAGTTGGGCAGGTCTTCCCTGGAGTGGCTGGTGCCCAGGGATGGGGTCCGGGCTGAGCCAGGACACTCACCTCTGTCCTGAAGGGAAGTCCGGGGCAGGATGGGAGCTGGGGGCCGGCCTCTAAGTCTCAGGAAGTGACTGGGGTCTCGGGCGGATGGGCAGGGCGTGGAGATTGCAGGGTCTGCCGGAGGTCTTGGAGAAGGGGATCCTTCCTGGATGGGGCTAGAAGGGAACCTGCCCAGTGGCCAGAACCTGGGGCCAAGTTGGGCAGGTCTTCCCTGGAGTGGCTGGTGCCCAGGGATGGGGTCCGGGCCGAGCTAGGGCACTCACCTCTGTCCAGAAGGGAAGTCCGGGGCAGGATGGGAGCTGGGGGCTGGCCTCCAAGTCCCAGGAAGTGGCTGAGGTCTCGGGCGGATGGGCGTGGGGGCAGGGCGTGGAGACTGCAGGGTCTGCAGAGGGTCTTGGAGAAGGGGATCGTTCCCGGTGGAGCTAGAAGGGAGCCTGCCCGGTGGCTAGAACCTGGGGGCAAGTTGGGCAGGTCTTCCCCGGAGTGGCTGGTGCCCAAGGATGGGGTCCAGGCTGAGGCAGGGCACTCACCTCTGTCCAGAAGGGAAGTCCGGGGCAGGATGGGAGCTGGGGGCTGGCCTCTAAGTCTCAGAAAGTGGCTGGGGTCTCGGGCGGATGGGCGTGGGGGCAGGGCGTGGAGATTGCAGGGTCCGCCGGGGGTCCCGGAGAAGGGGACTAGAAGGGAACCTGCCCGGTGGCCAGAACCCGGGGCAAGTTGGGTAGGTCTTCCCTGGAGTGACTGGTGCCCAGGGATGGGGTCCTGTCTGAGCCAGGACACTCATCTCTGTCCAGAAGGGAAGTCCGGGGCAGGATCTACAGTAGTATTCTAAACAGTACCATTTTTTATGTTAGCTCAGGTTTTTCTGTGTTGCGTTGATTTTCCACAGATTTCAGCTCCGGATGCCTTATGCTGGTTTTGTGCGTCCACCATTCTTAGCTTCTTAGTGGCTTCTGGAGCTTTTGAAACCATTCAGACTGCCTGCTTTGCAGTCTACTAGGACACTACCTTCTGTGTCTCAAATTCTTTTACCATATACATTAAGCATAGATTCACATTCAATATTTACACTTTCACAAACTGACATATAACATGTGCTTAAGCATAAACTCACACTCAACATTTACACATTTTTACAAACTCACATATAACATATTAACATCTACTTATTTATATACTTCTTATCTTATTTCTTATTTAAACTTACATTTGCAACCAGTATCTTTCTTACACCCTTATTACTACATGTCTTAAGACTACCTTAGATACTTCTTACAAGCTTATATTCTTAAAGGAACTCTGTAGATCTATTTTACAAACTTATATAGGGATATCATTAGCATATATTTAACTTAGCAAACACCTAAAGATTTCTTAACACAGAGATCTAACAAGACAGAATTTCTACAAACTCACATATCTTATTTTCATCTTTTTCTACTTCTTACTCTTAATTATCACTATCTCTATTAGATTCTCTTAACTAGACAGGAAGTACGTACATCATTTCTAAAGTTTAGAGTTTATAGTCAGCTTTGCTATACAACACTGGGATTTAGTGAGTATTGTCATTATAGAGTTGTGATACTTGTTGCTAGGGGACTGTAACATTCTAGGACAAAGCCATACCCCAAACCTGCCGAGTTCTCTAGAGATGCACTGTCAGCGGTAAACGGTTTTTAACTAGAGGCTGTCCCTTCACCCAAATTCATAATAGCTCCCCTAAGTGCTTCAATTCAGACAAACGTTTCTATTACAGCAGTACTTTTGGTTTGTTCTACCGAAAAACTTCACTTCACTCTGAGCGTGAAATTACCATATTTAGCTGCTGTAAAGCTTTTCGTAAAGTACTGCACAGCTATTAGGTGATATAAAGTATTTTTCTAAAGGAGCTACTAAAGCCAAAAGCGGCACAGCTCCAAACTCTATTTCCTCACTGTTTGCATTAACCAGTGACAAAACCCCAGAAACACTAATCGAGCCACTTTCATTCTGGTTCCTTTATAGGAACGTCATTGGAGCTGACCCTTCCCTCAGTTCCACACTCCTTACCAGATGCTCCGGTAACCACCAAGCTTCATTCTCCTCTTATGAAAAAACACAAACATGTCCTCGCCCCCATATTAACACAGGATCGGGACCCTTCCATAATCCCGAGCAGGAATCTTTCCATTTCACTTGAGCAAAAGTCACTTGGATGCCACTGTGCCAAAATCTATCTGCAGTAGACTGCTCACGGACATCCATATTCAAAAAGTTCAGAACAAAAAGAGCATGATTTAATGCATTGTGTGGTGATTGAGGGTAAATTTCTTCCTTTATTTTTATTTTTTGAAGTTGTACTTTAAGACTACTATGAGCCCTTTCTACAATACCTTGTCCCTGAGGATTATAAGGAATACCTGTTTTATGTACAATTTCCCATTGGGTACAAAATTGTTGAAATGCCTTACTACTATATCTAGAACCATTATCAGTTTTAATAATTTTTGGTATAACCATATACGAAAAAACACTTCAAGCAGTGCATAATTGCATGTTTTGTAGCTTCCCCAGGTTGTGCACTAGCCATTAAAAATCCTGAATAAGTGTCAATGGTCACATGTACATATCTTAATTTGCCAAATTCTGCAATATACATAACATCCTTTTGCCATAGATGATTGGGAAGAAGACCTCAAGGGTTTACCCCTAAGTGATGGACAGGAAAATATTTTGGACATATCCCACATCATTTAACTATTTGACGAGCTGCTTCTTTGGTAAAATTGAATTGCTTTCTTAAGCTTTTGCTATTTTGATGAAGAGCATGTGACTGTTGAGCCATTTCCACTTGGGATAATGCTACTATCTTTGTTAACTTATCAGCCATTGCATTAACCTCAGCTAAAGGACAGGAAGATTGGAGTGAGCACTAATATGGCCCACAAAGCATGGCAGCTTTCTTTTGTGAATAGTGTCTTGAATTTGTTGAAACATTTTGACTTGATTGTTGTTAGTGCCAATATTTTCACCAAAGCTGTTACTAGTCAAAGGAGTCAAGAACATAGATGTTCTTTCATGAAACATATCCTTCATTAGCTTACTCTGAGAAAAAGCACTCTCAGGATTTAGTATTTTCATTTCATTAGCTTTAACTCCTGATGTTATTAGCAGCTATGATACTTAGCATTGATTTCTTACAAGGAACTTTCAGGTGAAGCAACTATTTTTTTTTAAAGACAGATTTTTCTGAAGTTTGTTCCCCATCTATAAAGCAGTCATTTCTTTTTGAATGCCTGTTTCCTTGTCTCCTTATTAGATTTGCAAAGGAATTACTCATTGCAGGCAGTTTATTCAAAAGGCAAAGAACTTTAATTGCAACATAAGTTTCTTCATGTCTAAGACAACGTTCAATGTATAAACTGCTTTCCCTTGTTTTAAGGATTTTAAAGTGGCTTGTTTGCTCTTATAGGTAGCTTTTTGTCTGATCTGGGTTCTCAAGAGGTAAGATTAAGCTTTCCAGCATTGCTTTGAGAAAAAGCTTCATTCTGAGCTGAAAAGTTTTTGGACAGTATTGCCATCTTTAGCTGAAAAACTACATTTCCCAGAATGCATTTCTCTTATATCAGTCCTTTGTTGCAAGCTAGCTTATGGACTCCATTTCACATAGTTCTTTTCCGGGTCTAAAAGTCACTTATGAAGTTTTTTCCCCGGGAGATTTGAACCAAGTTTTTTGCTTTTGCAACGGGAGATTTGAACAAGCATTTTACATTTTACATTTTCAACTATGGGACATTGGGAGGTTTCTGGTCTCTCCTCAGCTGGCTTCAACAGGTGTCTCTCCTTCATTTGACACTGGCCCCAAATCAGAACTTCACCTGCCTCGTTAGCGGGCATTGAGGCTGGCATTCCTGATAGCAACTTTTCTCAGGGCTTATGTTTGCCTTAGCTAGTCAGTGAAAAACAGTAATAAATAGCAGACCACAAGTTTAAAACTCTACTAGACAGACAGACAGACAGATAAAACTACAAATAAATTAAAAGAGTGGAAACAGACATTCAAGTAATATAAGTTTACTTCTAGGACTTTCCATTTTTTAACAGTGTAGATGAAAACTTCAATGACCCTTGTTTACATATAATTATATCTGTATATGGGATCAGTATGAATATTTTATACATAAACATGCTCTAAGTTGCTTTTCTCATCATATATGTATTATAGCAAAACATATAACAGAGACAATATAAGAATAGAAAGATTTATTTAGTCTCAGACTAAAACCTTAATTTTCTTTAAAGACCCAAATACAGAAAATACACATGGAAATGTAATGTTTTTCAACTTTTATTTTTTTATTTATTAATTAATTAGTTTTTTCCAGCCTGATTATAGTTTACTCTTACAGTTAACATATACCTTCATTGAAGTGGTTGGATATAAAATAAACTCAAAAAATTCAGTAGCCCTCCTATACACAAATGATAAGTGGGCTGAGAAAGAAATTAGTGAAACAACACCCTTCTCAATTTTTATTTTTAATTGACAAAAAAGTATGCATTTCTGAGGTACAATAAAATGGTATCACAGAGTAGTACACTTGGCAGTAACTGAATTGACCCAATTGAAACAATCCTGTTTCAAGGCAAAAGAACAAAAATAATATCCAGGCAGTGAGACCAGGTCCTGTACTCAGTGCATGAGTTAGCTGTTTGAAACCTGGGGCTTTTACAGGGACAGTTGGCTCATCCTGGGAGGAGGGGACTGGACCTGCCTGGACTGAATCTACCAGGTTGAGCTGAATCCCCAGGGGAGTCTTTGCCCTGGAGGAGATGGGAATGGGGGGTGGGCTGGGGGAAAGAGGAGATGGGAGCGGGGAGAACAAGGGAATCCATGGCTGATATGTAAAATTAAATTATGTTATAAAATAAAAAAAGTATAAAAAAAAGCAGTGAGAATCTATTGAGGGTCAGGTACATACTTACTTCAAAGGAGTTAAGTGGGAAAAATACATGTTTATATTTCTGGAATATGGTATTTAAAATAAAGTATTACAATATTTTGAAATGTATATTATTTGTCATTTATTCTGTGTGTAACTTCCACAGAAGTTTTAATATTAGATGTGCAGAATCAAAGACACAGAAGACTCAGACTCAACTCATGCAGAATTCAGACTGAAAATCAAGTCATTTCTATTGGTCCTTCCATTTGACACAACTAACTAAACTCATCCAGACACAGTATCGAGGGGCTCCCAACTAACTCTTGCTACTATTTCAGCTGACATCTAACAACCTCGACTTATTTTCCAGGTGTGTACAATTAGCAAAGAATCGTCAACCCCTCATGCAGAGCATGCACATTTTTATTGTTTAAATTTATTCTTTCATGAATTTCAGAACCAATTTTTCCTCAACATACATTAGTTATAGATGAACATTGACCATGCTTCAGAATAGGAAGGAAGAAAAAGCTGTCAGATGTTGGATTGATATCACTTGGACTTTTATTGTGCTTATATACATTCATTCTTTT